AAATTTGCCTTTTTTACATCTATATCACATTAGCACCTTGATTTACCCAGTTTTTTTCCTCCAATAAATAACAAAAGTAGTCCAGACAAACTTATGAACTTTTGCTTAATACATTTTTCCATTTTATCTCACTTCTCTAGTACTCACATGGTTTCTTTCCAAGTGAGTGGCAAAGTAAGATATTTTCAAGAACAATTACAAGTTTCCAACTTCCAAAATCAAAGTCCTGAAAATGCTTTTTATTAAAGAATCCAAGTTTAGATTATCACATATTCCCAAGCCCACATGAGGCTTAATTCATTGCCCCTTTGAAATATTCTGAAAGCTGAGGGTTAAGAGGTGTTGTATTAGTGCAGAATAATGATGATTAATTTGTGCTTTGTATCAAATGCAGGAGGATGTGAATCCTCTATAATTCCAAAATCTTTCTATAAACTTGAAAATATTCTGTGGATGTATGTGCCTTAAATGGAAATTAAGACCAATTTTTTGCATGTGGCTGTTGTAGTTTTCCTTCAAATAACCCCTCCCTCCCCACCCCTCTTCTTCCAGGATTCTGGACAGATTCACTTAAAATACACCCTTTTGTCTTTTCATTACAGAGTAACTAATGAAAATTCCATTTAAAATGTGCTTTCTGGGAGACAGGGATGTTCTTTTTTTAGTGATTAACCAGAGCCCATATTTCAAGCAGCAGGGATAGAGCTCCAGGTAGTGTAAATCAGCATTGCCCGAGATGCCCCACAGTCCTCTCAACCCCACAGAACAATTTAGTGGGCTTAGATGACAGTTGGCATCTTTGAAATATTCTCTTTTGCAGAACTAGACTAGATGTGACACTTGCTGGAGAAGAAATCTTGCATAAATCTGTCGGAAAAGACTCAATCATATTACTTCACTAGCCATGGTAACCTTTGGAGGCCAAAGTCCAGACAGGTTGAGAAATGGAGCATGAGTCCATAAAGGTGACAATTCCATTAACTGCAATCAGAGAGAGAGGTGAATGGTGAGATAAAGACAAATGACTCCCTCTGTAAAGAAAAGAAAATATGTGTGTGCAGGGGAAAGAGGCAGAATGAACATTTCCTAGCCTTGTCGGGGAAATAAAGACCCAGCCCTGCTGTTGAGATCAACACAAAATCATCTCTTGAGTTCACTGGATGCCAGTTTTGCCCCAACATCCCAACTTCCTGGTGAATGTCAAGCAGCAATGGACCTCTGAACACCCAAAAATTCCCTTTAGATGTTTATTAGTATAAAAACAGAAAGGACAAAAGTATTTATTAAAGTTCCTGCTCGTGTGTGTGCTTAGGCAGTTCATACAAGCACCTGAGGGTGGGTTTTATTCTCATTTGAAGAAGTATAGCACTTCTTCAAGTGTTACAGGAAGTAGAAGCTGGGGAATACTCTGGATGAAGTGTTTACTTGTCCATTAGACCAGGACTATTCATCTAAACAGGGAAATGGGGAAGTAAAAACCAATTTAATTCTCTGCAACAAGAAGGGATTTTTGAGTGTACAATAGGAAAAAAAGGAAATGTACTATGGGGGATTTTTTTCTGGTTTTAACAGAAATATTAAGTTACTCTTGGATACTGGAGTGGCTGAAAAGGGAAATCCCTGTTTTAAATGCCTCTAAATATAGCTAGAAAAGTAATTCCAATTTTATCAATTTGTGGCCCATTTCCTCACATTTTGGGCAGCTCACCTTTTAATACCAAATCCAGGAGCTGATACAAATAAGTAGACAATATCTGAGGCTCCACCAAAATTCCAGTGTCTTGCCCAGGGCCTGTTCCTGCCTGCCCACTTGGCTGGACACCAATATCCTTTATTCTCAGGGGAGTCAGCCTTCCAAAAAACCACTTGGCACTCGAGTCAGGGCTGCTCTGTTTTCCTAACGTTCGTGGCAGGCAGGATGTTTTCCGACTCTGGTACCCAACAGTTGAGCATTCCAGACAGCACGGGGATTTTTCTTTTGAAACCACACTTGCAATGCCATAAGAATAAGTGAGGTTCTATGACACCGTGTGATCCTGGTGGGAAAATAGGATGACTTTGCTGTCACACAGTGATACACAAAGGGAAAATGCTCATGGCTCTTGCCACCTTTGTAAACTCTCCTTCTGTTGTGTAAATGCTGAAAAAAATCCTGGCTTAAAGTCCTGTTTTCATCAACTGGTTCCCCTCTGGGAAGATTGCCAGAAGGAGAAGACCCCCTCCCAAAATGCCTGGCCAGGAAAGCAGCCCACTGGTGCAGTGTAGCAGAGGGAGTGCTCAGTAGTCTATGCACACAGTGTTTTCAGCTAGTGAAAATGTTGTTTGTTCCCCAGAGCACACACTACAGATACCCCTATAACTTTTTTTTTGCCTATCCCTTACACTCCTACACTGAACCTTAAAAACATTATTTTATCATTAACGTTTTTATTCAAGTGATTCCTGAGCTCACTGATGCCAGAGCCAGCTCCAGCTGTGCAGCCTTTGCCTTGTGGAACAGACACTGCCCAGGGCAGGGCAGGCAGGTGACAGCTCAGCCAGGACTGGACTCTTCACTGCCCAGGAGCAAACAGACTGTCCTGGGAGGCAGGACATCTCCCTGGATGCCAGAGACATCTCCCACCACCTGCAACATCCTTCCAAGGTTTTTTCCATAGGATATGACCAGCTTGCATGAAGTACTTTGTTGCAGTGGTGATATATCACACAGTGATGCCAAATCCAGTCAGTGTGGGGAGGATTGAAAAGGCTCAGCCTCCCTCCAGGCAGTGTGTCCTGATGCCATTCCTGGCACCTTCTACAAAAGGCAGATCTTATTTTGCCCTTTGAATTCCAAAACTGGTGAACACAGTCATAGGAGGCAATCAGTCAGGATCTGTTAATTTATAAAAAATATAACTGTCTGTTCTCCAAGGGTAAGATTAACTGAGATCTGTACTTCCCAGATTATAAACAACACACAGCCTTTCTCCTTAACTCATTGCAAAATGTACAAATATCCCAACACCAGCTCTGTAATCTTTTAAAATCTTAAACGGAACAGGGGCTCATTCCATTGCATAAAATGAAGTTTGTAGGATCATGTAGCTACCTGCAAATCAAACACAGATAAACCAAACAGCACAAGAAATGGGGATAAAGTCACCTTTTATGTAGCTGGTTCCTCCAGCAGTGAGATTGTCATGCTCTGTATACAACCCAAAACAAATTGTCTGTTTAGAATTAAAAAAGACTTCCAAAAGTCTTGCCTCCAGGGAGATCATTTTATACCACAGGGCAGATTCAGCTCTGGTGTAGGATTTCTGATTTTCATGGAATTGCACCATTAAGGAATTTGGCCCAACATCTTGCCCACACTGATGCAATTCAACTTTTAAGGGACAACTATGGGGTTTCCTCCTAAGTCAGGCCAAGTTTCTGGAACAAGGGAAGTCTGTAAAAGAAACCGTTGGAGGGATGTTTTAGTCTGGCATTTAGGAACATTCACATATTAGAAAACGTCACAGGATTTATTTTGTATGTCTTGCACGTTAGAATTTCGTGCTTTTTCTTCTTTCCTTTCAGAGACATTGTCAGTAGGTGGTCATGGCAAAACTGGATAAACCCCAAAGAAATGTAATGAAATTATTATAGATGGACTAAATAGAAAGACATTTGTAGATCCAGTTTGTTCTGCCTCATCTTTGTTATATAAACCCATTTTCCATACTTAATGTGTTGCCTGAGCTTGCAATATATGATTAACAGAACGTCTGCACCACTCAGGATTCTGGAGAAAAATGTGAGATGTTAATTTGCCAACATTTTAGGTAACTTTAAATATTCTGGGCATGACTGATCTCACAGAGTGCTTTGGATTTATGCCTTGCATGACAGATGGAAATCTGAATACACACACTGATGCTGTCACTGATGTTGAAAACTTCTGCACAGGAACAAAGAGCTGTAACACTTCCCTGCTCCTGGAGCTAACCTGGTATTTCCTAAAACCGTGCAGCTCCACAGGTCATGGCCCAGCAAGCAGGAGTTTCCCCAGCTCTTCCTGCCAGCGCTGCAAGTACCGGGCACCGTGACGGGGTGGAAATGTGATGCTGTCAAGGGTCTGGGGGAGATTATTCCCTTCCCTCTGCAGTTGTTTGAGCTGCCCAGACAGTATGAAGCAGATACTCATGTTCTTAAGGCTTCCTGGGAAAATCAACACTGTCTCAAAACCATACTAGAACCAAAACTATGAAAAGATTAATCAAGAGGTCAAGAGGGAAGAAGGATGCAATAGCTTGTGACAGCAGTGAGCTGGTAAATGATGTGCTCAATGCTGAGCTCTCTTGCCAATCAGAACATTCAGGACATCACATCAAAAACTCCTTTGGATTACTGACATAATATTTGAAAGAACATGGAATACTATAGACTTTTCTACTTGCATTCTTACACTAATCATAAAGCCTCAGTATAAATCAAATGGAGCAAATGCTCTCAGTAAATTAAGATATATAGAAAAATATGTGTAGGATATATTTTAATGTGTGTACAAGAGATACAAAAACATTTGGTACAGCTGCAGTTCTCACAAGCAGAAGAATGATCCTTCTTCAGGCATTCTTTAATATCCCATTCTGCTTTGGTAACCTCTGGATTTTACAGTTTGTCTTTCCATAGCCATGATAAGACCATCATGGCTTTAATCAACTTTTTGGGTCATTGGCCAGTCAGAAAAGCTAAAAGTGAAATAAAAAAACAAAACACGACAAAACTCAGAAATACTGGACATATTTGCCATTTCTGTCAGCCACTGCTACGAATATTGTGATAAAGCAAGATAAAAAATTGAGGAAGGAAACAAGTGGTAATTATTTATGCATTCTTATTTTAGAGTATTTTATGTCTGATTGTTTCAAAATGAGGAGGAATATATGACTGGATATGTAACCCCACCCTCTCCAAGAGTTGCTGGGATCATTGTTTGTGAGTGTATCCAAACACCAGAACAGTTTCCTTACCTCCAGTCTGTTGCAGTCATGGGAATGCCATGGGATGTTCTGGTGGACACCTCGTCCCCATGGTCACAGCATACACTGGGAACTCGTCATCTTGGGACATATGGGACTGGAAAATTAGAATGGCACATAATTATCCCATATTTCCTTTCATGGAATCCTGGCCACTGAGGGTCAGCAGCTAAGAAGCAAATCCATGTGCAGGGCATGACTCTGCCATAGTGGTCACAGGACCTGATGTGTGGTTGCTAAGAGCACAATCTCATCCTTCCTGACCACTATCACAATCACCTTGAATGCCAAGTGCCCTGCTACAACTTAACTCTGGTTTTTGTCCTCCTTACTTTATTGCTTTTAAATAAACTGGCAGCTCAAAGTTTCATCAAAGTTGTTTCATATGCTTTTCTGCTTTAAAAATCCCTTCTGAGGATTATCTACTCAACACGAAGCTTTAAGAAATCACATTGATCTGGAATAAAAAAATATCTGTTTGAGCTGTTTTGTTTAATGTTAGTGGAGGAAAGAAATCTCACATAGATCTGTGGATGTGACTGTTTGCCATCCTTTGAGAGAATGAATGTTCTAAGTCAGCTCAGTGGTACTTGTGTAACTGAGTTTCCAACACTGAAAACTGACACTGATACCATGACCTGAATAACTTAAAATTTTGAACCAAGAGTCATGTCCCCCTGTAAAAGAAACACCTCCCAAATTAAAACTCCAACTTCTCCATTTTGAGCTAAAAAACCCTATTTTTCCTGTATGTTGCTGTCTGTATTGGGCTTCAAACAAAAATGGGTGAATGCAGAGGAGGAAGCCTGATGTACAGCAGTTAAAATATATGGAGGATTTGAGGGGTTTTGGTACATCAAAACCCTTCAAAGCACAATATATTTGTAGTTTGGTATTGCAGGCATTTCCCTACCCACTGCAAGGTTTAATCTGTCATGGAAGAATACATGGAAGAATATGTTGCTCTCAGATGACATCACAGGCTGGTCATGTCCTTGCTACGTTAACTTATTCTCAAGCAGAAGAAAATCAGTGTTACCTGTGGTGGGGGGTATCCTGGTTAGCTTGTTCTCTTTCATTTTACATACTCCTATTGGAGGGAACCAATTCAGAGGCTGAGAGTGGTATTTTTGGCCTTTAAATCATGGCTATTCAAGGTAATCCATATTTTGCAAATGGCCCACAATGTTATCTTCATTTGTTACCTATTGCCAGATTTATTCCATAGAATTTTGCATGGATCCCAGAACCAGGGAGGCTTCTGGCTGAAATTCCTCCCACCTCAGCTCCCAGCAATCCATCCCAGCCTTTTCCAGTGTGTTTAGTCTGAAAAACCCCACGTTGGGACTCTGGGTTAAGCAGCAATGTTTGGGACACCCACTTGATATCCTTAATATTGGATGACAGGAAAGCAGGGGCTGGAATGAGCCACTGCTTTTGGTTTGCAAGGTCCTGAAGCCCTGAGCTGTGGTTCATGGGGCTCTCTGCTCTTTGACAACACTTCCCACCATGTGTTCCAGCCAGGAAGATGGATGTACCTTAGTTAAAGTGAGTCATTCACTGAACCTGGGCCAAACTTTGAAGCAAATCTGGGCCAGTTTACTGCCTCAAGAGGAAACCTGGTTTTTGCATGAATTAGATGTGAAAATAAGCAGAGCCTGACTGACATCTCCTCTGAATTCCAACTGTAAGGGTAAAACCCAGAGGGCATGAGCCTCAGGCATGACAAAAATGAGGAGGGGAAAATAAGGTTTCCTGTCTACCCTGCAAGAGCCAGAGAGACACATGTAACTTAGGGTAAATTGTTAATGATTTATACAGTAATTAAGTAATGTTTATAGAATGGCTTACATATGTAAATGGCTGTAAAGATGCTTACGATTTTCCTGCGCTCTCCAATTAAACCAACTTTCATTACAGAACAAAACAATTCCATCCCAACTTGTTACACCAGTTCTTTAGCCAGGCAGCAATGCAGCCACTGCTCCCAGCTCAAACTGGGCTATTGTGTTTCTCTGAGGAAACTTCTGTGCTGGTTTGTAGTTGTTTTAATTCCATCACAGATCACATTCTGTTTAATGATAATTTGATTTTGCATTGCAAGACCCAGATGTACATTAGGAGGTCATAACCTTTCCATTTATCTCGTAAAGTAACTATTTTTTCCCTGAGTTCCATCAGGTTAAAACAGTTAGCAATTTTTCTCCTTGAAGTGTCCCTTCAGCTTGGCCAAGATATATAATAGATCAGTGTAGCTACAAATGCATTACAACATTAGTCATCAATTAGTTTTAAACCATCGCTGTAATATATCATTTATCCAGCTTGCTGTAGCACTATTGTGAACATTTAATTTTTTAAAGGCATCTTGATTTTTTAACCTGACGGCTGCATCCCCCTTTTGTCTCCTGTACAGACATCTCCTTAAGGAACAATAAAAATTAGATTTGTTTGACCTGCACTCAGGGTTCGTTTAAGTGGGATGGATTTTAATTGCTCTGCCCAGTCTACCAGACAGCTTTTATGTAATATTCCAGACATTTACGCACTGTCTTTTCCCTTGCTGTAAGCAGGTGTGTGTGCCCACAAATGCCTGTAAAGCAGCTCTTACAATTCATTTCACATCTCTGACAATCCTCTGGGAAATTGCTTTCTCTGAGATACCGTTGGCATCAAATTAAGGCCTCCGGTCATTGCCACTTCTTCCCTCCTATTACCATTTCCTTTTGTCTTTAAGATTCACCTTCTTGTGTGGCTAATTCTAACAGGATCTCGCTGAGGACTGTGTTCCTTGGGCTTGTGTTGTCATTATATGGCACAGGTGACTCGTCCCTGCATCTCCCAGTAGTGAGAATGGCTAAGGGCCTTACCTGTCTCTCCCAAAATCTCGGATTGTCCTTGCAATAAGATCTACAATTTGAAGAGGTTTGGAATATAAGACAGCTCAAACTGGGAGCAGCAGGTCTGTGCCACAGTCCCTTGGTATCTTTTAGAAGCTCTAACTTCATTTAGGAAGTCACGCGAGGAAGTTATCACAGCACTGACTCAGAGCCCGGAACACCCCGGCTGCTCTGCCAGCTTCGAGTGGAGGCACCATGAGCTCACATTTGCTCAGGATGAACCTTATTTGCTCCAGCTGCTCCATCAGGGAGAGGAGAATCTCATGTGGAGAGTTCTCTCCCTGCTATCTCTCCCCTTCCACTTGTGATACAATCTGAAGTCCTCTGTTTTTCCTCTTCTCCCCATTCCTAAAAAGGAAGATTTGCCTGTCCCGTGAGTTACGAAATCAGCACAAAAAAATGGGCCTCCTAAGCAGTTCTTTGTGCCTACAGCTGGTTCTGGTCTCCTCTCTGTTGGACACACACATGCACTTAATTCCCAGTTGTGCTGGATGCCTATTAAAAGAACAAATCTACAAGTGAGGAGGGTCTCTTCTGCCGTGTCAATGGAAGTGAAATACGTAAATCTCCTGCATGCTGAGGCAAATGAATGCTCCAAGTGCTTGGGAGAACAGCTGGGAAAGAAAATAAACAGTTTTTATTCTGCTGCAAAGTGTCACGGATCCAACTTGCTAAGCTGATCCTCATGTGGCACGTTGTGCCTTCTCCACGATTCTGCCTACTGCTTCCAGGGAGGGTAAATCAGAGTGCTCAGTGCTTCAGCCAGCACAGAGAAAGGCACAGATCAGCTTCTCCCACAGTGGTACAGCCAGCATGGTGCAGAGCAGCAAGGGAGCACCAGAGGGGAAAGGACAATTCCAGCCAGGGGCCCTGGGAGGAGTGGAGGTGAAGATCATGGTGAGCTATGGAGAAAGCAGAGAACAGAGAGACCTGCCTGTCTTGCCAGCCTGGGAAGCCAGAAGAGAGTTTGGAATAATCTTCCTCCATGCCACTGCATTTCTCTCTTTTTATCTGCTAGTGGTAAATCCCAGTCACTTAGGAGATGTCCAGGAGTGAGATTGGTATGTGATGATGAGAGAATCACAAAACATTTAAAGAAATGAAGGGTTCTGTAGGAGACTGTGGAAGGAAATCCTGTTTTCTTCTATTGAAACTGGACAGAATTGCACACTTGACAGAACAACTACACAGCTCAAGGAATTCACCTTCCACTTGGCCTGCCTGGGCCAGCACCCCAGTGCCACCATAAACACATGGATGGCTTCCCTCCATGAAGCAGGAAAGGGTTGGGAGGTCCAGCACACTTACTTTGCATGTGGACACATAATTCTTAATTTCATATTCTGTGGGCTTTTTTCCCTGGGGCTTTTTCAGTAAGCCATACCAATATTTTTTACTTCCCTGACAGAAGCACTGAAAATCAGAACCCATTTATTTAGTACCAAACAAATGCAGAAATAAGAGCAGGCTGTAGCACTAGAATACACATTTGTAACCCTCTGAGGACCAGATGCAGCAGAGCTGGAACACTTAGCAGCTGTAATGTGCACCGAGAAGTCACATTTGTTCAAGAAAAGCCACATTACTTATATTAATTGGATGTGTCCAGCTCATCCTGAGTCCACTTAAGCCTTGGCAAACCTCTAGCTCTGAGCATAACAAAGGTATTAATACTGATATTCCTTTATATTATCCCATTTACATAACGACTCCCACCTTTGCAGACTAATACTTATTCTTTGGAACACAGAGAACTTTTGACTCATATCTGGACTGAGTTGCCAAAATCTCCTAAATTTAGAGATGCTTGGAACAAGAAAGGGAGTTTGGTTCAGGCCCATCCACAACAGCAAATTAAACACAAGTCATCATCTGTGTGAGTGACATTTTCAGCATGTCCAGAGCCTGGCAGGAGCTGACATTCCTTCTCCCTGAAAGATTTACAGAATTTGTGCATTGAAAAGCATTGAGGTAAACCCTGGTCTGAGGCCCAAGTGCATAAATTAGACCTGTCCCCTCCCTTCAGTAAATTACAGACGTACACGCCGTAGGTTGGCTCGCTGTGCTCTTGGCAACTCCAACAGCTCTGTGAGTGTGTGTTCACAGAAAGGGAGTTTGTGTCATTCTCACACATTTGCATTTTATTTTCTGAGATTTTGGTGCAAGGAATTTGTTGTAGATCATTTCTTCCCTTCAT